ATCTCAGTAATATCTACCCAGCCCAGAGGAAATCTGAAATAGAGTACCACACCATGTTGGTCAAAACTGGCGTCCATTACTACAGTGCAGTAATACTGAATTGGGCACAGTGTGTAGAAAATACTCCGGGGTTTGCACGCTGCCTCTCATTGATCCAGGTGATTCTGATATTGTCAGAAGCATAACAGACTGGTGAAGAGTAAATCATGCAAAATTTTTCTTCAGTAAAATTGGCCAGAACTCGAGCACATAAAATATAAATAAATTAAATAAATAAATAAATAGATAGATAGATAGATAGATAAAATGTTCGCTGTTCAACATTAGAACAAAGTACTTCCATGAAGTGAAAAATACATTAAGTGATTTATAAATATATTAAAAATATTTAATGGTGTGGGAAACTATTGTCATGCTAAATGGAAACAAAGTAGTATTCGAAATTGCGTGGTCTCTTCTATATATTACCTGAATGTGTCCCAGACTCCATCTTCTTTCGTAACCACTGTGTTGGCTCTTTCTGTCTCAGAACCACAACAGGGGAAAAGGAAAAGAACAAGGGCTGACTCATGGGGTTTGAAACATTCATGGACTTACCACCCAGCCTCCACTGACACATTCTCTGTCCTCCACTGATGTTCTCTGTGCTCACCTCTCTCTGACCTCTTTCTTCCTGGGTCCAGTGGTGTGCAGGTAAATGTTTAACAACTAGTGCTCTAGGAGAGACTTGTACAAATCGGGAATCCTCATTTACAGCATTTGTGATACCATCATGATCAGTTTCAAACTATCAATATGGTGTCATTGAACAGAGTTGGGAAGAAATGGGTAGCTGGCTCCAACTACCACTGCCTGGGTCCCACTGTTGGAAAAGTTTCACAACAGAATTGCTAGGCCTCTAGATCATCCTCTCAGGTTAACCAGAATCTTCCTTTTGTCTAGGCAAATGGACACACTCGAAGGCAGGAACACAACATATTCAATATAATCTCACACTAAGTCTTGAACTACCATCTTTTCTTCGAAGGCCTCAGAGGCTAATCTTACCCAAACTCCATCCACACTAATGGTGATTTTTTAGGGAGATCCCCCTGAATCTCTCATAACCTAGTTCCCATCAGACCCCCTTATTTGTCTGTATTGCTTGGACCCCAACTATGGACACAATTCAGGGGTCTTCCCACAGTCCTGGGATACACTCAGATGTCAGTGAAACGTGGCTATATAACTTGGGTTTACTAGAGAAGGGGGAGACCATGCAAACTCCATATGGAGAAATTGCTTAGATCCATACTTCTCTCCTCTCAGCGACAGGAAGTCT